AATGAAAAGGGAAACACAATGGTTCAAAATCTCTGGGACACAGCAAAAGCAGTTCTAAGAGAGAAGTTTAGTGATACCTCCCTACAGAAAAAGAAAAATCTCAAAGAAACAATCTAACCTTATACCTAAAGCAGCTAGAAAAAGAAAAGCAAAAGTCCAGAATCAGTACAAGGAAGGACATAAGAGTAGATATAAATGAAATAGACTTAAAGAACAGTAGAAAAGAACACATGGAAACAAAGATGAAAAACTGTTGTTTGAAAAGATAAATAAAACTGATAAACTTTTACTCAGACTCATCAAGAAAAAGAGGACTCATGGGGCGCCTGGGTGGCTCAGTCAGGTCAGGATCCCAGGGTCCTGGGATCGAGCCCCATATCAGGCTCCCTGCTTGGTGGGGAGCCTGCTTCTCCCTCTCCAGTTCCCCTGTGCTTGTGTTCCCTTCCTGTTATCTCTGTCATAAATAAATAAAATCTTAAAAAAAGAAAAAAGAGGGGCACTTGGGTGACTCAGTAGGTTAAGTGTCCTCTGCCTTCGGCTCAGGTCATGATCCTGGGGCCCTGGATGGAGCGCTGTGTCTCGGGCTCTCTGCTCAGCGGGGAGCCTGCTTCCCCCACAACCCCCTGCCTACTTGTGATCTCTATCAAATAAATAAAATCCTTAAAAAAAAAAAAAAAGAAAGGAAGAAAAAGCAAAAGAGGACTCAAATAAATCTGTTCAGAAATGAGAGAGGAAAAGTAACAATCGACACCACAGAAATATGAAGGACTATAGGATATGCTATAAAAATCATATGCTAACACACTGAAAATCTAAAAGAAAAGGGTAAACTCCCTGAAACCTATGATCTTCCAAGACTGAACCAGGAAGAAATAGCCAGTTTCTAGTGGTGAAACTAAATTTGTAATAAAAAACTCCCAATGAACAAAAGTCCATGACCACTTGGGTTTACAGGGGAATTCTACCAAATATTTATTTAGTATATGTGCTGCCGAAGTGAGCACTACCAAATATTTATTTAAACAGAGTTAATACTTAATCTTCTCAAACTATTCCAAAAAAAACAGAAGAGGAAGGAAAACTTTCAAATTCATTCTACGAGGCCAGCAGGACCCTGATACCAAAACCAGAACAAAGGCACTACAGAGAAAACTACAGGTCAACGTCCCGGATGAAGACTGATGCAAGAATCCTCAACAAAATACTGGAGAACTGAATGCAATGATCCAAGAGAAGGATCATTCACCAGAGTCAAGGGGGATTTAATCCATGATGCAGAGCTGGCCCAACATCTGCAAATCAATCAACGTGATACAACATATTAAAAAGATGAAGGATAAAAACCGTAAGATCATCTTAATAGACGCAGAAAAAATATTTGACAAAATATAACATCCATTCGTGATAAGAACTCTCAACAAAGTGGGTTCAGAGGGAATGTACCTCAACATCATAAAGGCCATATATGATAGATACAGAGTTAGCATCAGATGCAATGCGGAAACACGGAGAGCTTTTCCTCCATGACCAGGAACAAGACAAGGATGTCCACTCTCCCCACGTTTATTCAGCATAGAGCTGGACGACCTAGCCACAGTAATCAGACAACAAAAAGAAATAAAAGGAATCCAAGTTGGTAAGAAAGAAGTCGGTTAAGCGTCTGCCTTCAGCTCGGGTCACGGTATCAGGGTCCTGGGATCGAGGCCTGGATCCGGCTCCCTGATCAGCGGGGAGTCTGCTTCTCCCTCTCCTTCTGCGGCTTGTGCTTTCTCTCTCTAATAAACAAATAGAATCTTAAAAAAAAAAAAAAAAAGAGGACAAAAATATGAACAGGCAAGAACAGGAAACACGAAAGGCTAACAAACCTATGAAAGGATGTTGCTAACACTCACTAGGCCAACCAGCGCATATAAAACAAGTGTACTTAGAATACGGATGTCAGCACACAACCCTGAAGGGGGCAGCGTGTGCTGGTGCAGCCCTCCTGGAAAGAGATGTGGCTGGGCTTCCACAAATCAAGGACACAAAAGGAGGGTCTAGCCAGCAGGTGCTCCAGCTTCTGTCTAGCAGAGAGACCCTCCTGAACCCCGGGGGGGGGGGTGCGGGAGGACGTGCAAACCAGCCGCCATGGGGGTGTTTGTGCTGTGTGCTGGTGGAGTGGCAGGAACAGTGTCCGCCACAGGGGAGGGATGACCCCAACACCAGGAGTAACCACTTCGAAGCCCAAACCAGGTACACCCCCGGCTATGCGGAGCTCTGAGGGGAAAAAAGAGAACAGAGCCACGCACAAGACCAAGATGATATGCATTTTGGAATGACAAATATCCATACAAAAATAAACACTCTACAACGTGGGCCCAGAGGAACAAGGATGGGAGCAGGCGTGAGGAGAAAAGAAAACAAGGGGCGTTTTATGACAGTGGACCCCACACTGAGGGGCACTCTTGAAGCCCCTGTGCCAGGCAAAGTCCTGTATATAGCAAGGACTAGGCAGTCCAGGGCTGGGCACCGTCAGAGCAGGGGTGACAATCAGGGCGAACAATAAGCAGAATTACTTGCCCAAGCCTGGATGTGGAACCACACCAACCACGCCAGCGCCCGGGGGCTATGGCTGTAAAGAGCCAGAGTGCTGCTGTGGGGGCCGTGACCGAGGGGGCTGTGGGCACAGGAGCAGAGTCCAAGGGCAGGGGCCTGACCGGGTTAGGAAAGCCACCCGCTGCTTCTGCGCCCAGAAGGAAGTGAGAGAAACTGGCCAAGTGAGCCCCGGAGGCCCCATGGCATCCTGCAGCAGAGGTCGGGGGTGCGGGAAAACCCTCTGCGGGCTGCTGGGGCAGCTGGCTGGCCACTGACGTGAGGGGGTGGGTGGGAGAGGCTGAGGCAGGCACGAGAACTGCGTTTAGTAAATGGGACAGTATACTGTGGGCACTGACACACAGACTAAGGGCAAACACACACACACACAATGACCAAGCGGACTGCGTTGTCAAGTAAAACCAGTCAGGCCTGAAGAACATCTGCGACCTTTTGATCCTTAAGAAAATCTCCAGGCCAGCAAACTGACACCAGGAAGAAGCTAGCCACAACAGCCACGCTCCCACCAGGAAGGCCCCAACCCCAAGAGCCCGCTTCCCAAGGCCACGGGGACGGCACACCTCTCAAGGACCACGGGAGCCCGCATACAAGTTCTTCAGTCCACAGAGGAAGGATAGCCAGAGAGGCTAACGCCTCTGGTGCCTTGGCTAGCCTTCACGGCTCCTGCCCAGAGACGTAGTGAGCGCCATGGCCAGCTGGGGTCTGCCCTGCATGTCCCTCGTTTCTCTTTGCAAACAGGCATTTGGCAGTCCTGTTTTGTCTCCCCCATTTTTTGCTGGGCGGGATGGGTTAACATGAAAGACAGTTGGTCTTGTGGTGTAAACAGGCCTTATGGGCTCCGTGGAGAGTGCCGCCCAACACGCAGGGGCTGTGGACAGTGAGAAATCTGGGACTGAACTGGACTTCCAGGAGACCGGTGGGGCTGACAGAGGTAGAGACAACCCCGGCTATTAACCCATATGCTCCCCTTCGTTGGGCTGGCAGCCCAGAAACGCCAGCCCCAGGCTCCTCTCGCAGCCACGCCTGGGCATGCTGCCTCGCGTCGCCCTTCGCTGTGGAATCGAACGTAATGATGTATTTAACTTCTGTCTCACTGTCCGGGAGGAAATCCTGCCTCGGGACTTTTGTTTTTCTCTCGCCTTCCACTGGCAAGAATGGCAGCGATCAGAGTGGCCTGGGTCCCTGAGGGACCATGGGGAGCAAAAGTGCTGGTCTGGAATGCTCTGTTTTAGGGTCTGCTAAGTTATTATGGCAGGATGGCTTCCCCTAACGTGCATTAAGATTACGTTTACAGATGGACCCAAAGCAGAAGAAAACACGAACAAATTAAAAAAGAGAATGTGTTGGGAAGGAAAACAGTGAGGCTATTTTCCACTTTTTCCCTACACTTTAATTTCTAACTGCTGCTATTATGAAAATGTCAGTTACACAACAGTTTAAAAACAGCCGGACAAAAGAACACGCGTGTCCGCCCTCATGCCATTTCTCACACAGATGCATGACAGCTAAGGAAGAGGAAGTGGGACAGCCTGGGCATTAAAAACAGAAAACAGAATTTCAAAAGAAGAAAAGTTTTGAGAAGGTCTTGGGTGCTGCCATAGCTTCTGGGCAAGAAAGCTTTGCGATTTTTTATTTTAAAGATTTTTTTCTTCACAAGGGAGACTGGGAGAGAGCGCATGCAAGAGCAGGGCGAGGGGTAGAGGGAGAGGGAGAAGCAGACTCCCCTCTGAGCAGAGAGCCCCGATGGGGTACTCGATCCCAGGACCCTAATTTGAGCTGAAGGCCGACACTTAACTAACTGAGCCACCCAGGGGCCCAAGCTATGTGACCTCAGATGCTAGCTTCAAACTGTGGCATGACCATTTCTTTCTGGGCCAGCTCCCCTGGAACACTCCAACGTGACAGGAGACCCGGCAAGCTGTGCGGCTGGAGACTTGGCAAGATGAGTGTCACAGCAAAGTTTTTAAAGACAATACTAACTTATATCACTCCATACTCCATTTCTCCAACCCCTGGGCGCAGGGAGTTAGTCACTGAAGCAGAGGCGACAGACACTGGGGAGACAGCGAAGGGAACAATAGGCCGATATTGGGTTTGGATTCAGAAGGCACAGTTGCATTGTCAGCTCTACTTAGGGGCTGGGCCAGCCCCGGCATGTGATGCAGTCATGGGGTTCTGCCTTGTTACTTACGTTTCCCCCACGTTATACATTTGTCTCAGGGACTGCTGGGAGGCTCAAATAAAATAAGCACAGGAATGTGTGACAGGGCCTAGGGTCTAGGCCTGCCTCATGTGAGTGCCTCACAGAGGTGTCCTCTCTCCCCTGAAGGAAGAATGGGGACAGACTGAGAGGCGGCCCGCAACAAGCAGCAGGAAACCAGGCTGTGGCACACAAAGCTAACTCCTACCTGGACTTTGTGGAACATCTGTAAATTAATCGCTTTGACTTCTTCCAGCTGCTGGCGGAGGGCGACCAGGGTGTCCTGCTTCTCGTGGGTGTCCTTTTCGAGCAGCTTCATGGCAATTTCCATTTCTGTCTTCATTCCAATCTGTAACTCCAGTTCTTTTTCCAGTTCCTTAAGAGGGTATTAATAAGGAAAGTATTATTGAAACAGCCGCAGAGATGTGTTTACCTGGGGCTGTATCCTGGGCAGTGCCAGAAATAAAAAACCCAAAGTCAGAATAGGTTAGCAAGATTCAGGAGAGTTTGTCTAGGACTAGATTAAGTTTTTCCCTTTTTCTCATTGTATAATGAATACTGGCTCTGTGAGTCAGAAAGCTGGTAGGTGGCACTCAGCCTCAAGTTGCAGCAACCACGTTCTTTAAACCTGAAGACCAGAACGCGGAGACTGAAAGAATATCTGCTCAGCAATGTGACATTGCCATATGAGTTTCTGGAATGGGATGCTAGATTATGGCAACAGGGGTGTGACCATATCGAACCAGTTCCATCTTGGATAACTCAGGACACGTCTCCACATTGGTGCAAAGAAGCAAAGAAAAAAAGCAGGTCCAAAAGCTGGGTCTAACAAAAAAAACACCGGCTGGGATGCCTGGGTGACCGGCTGGCACCCTCGACTCTTGATCTCAGGGTTGTAAGTTCAAGCTCTACGATGGGTGTAGAGCCTACTTAACACAAAAAAACAAAACACTGGTCACTGGCATGCAGACTGGGTAGAAAGAAACAGACCAGAGGTTGTGGGTGAGGGAGTTGTACTGGCAAAGCAACCATGAATCTGATCTCATGGTGATCCCTGACAAAGGTTTATAGAGATGGAAAAAACTCAGAGCTTAGTAGTAACCCTTTAAAAAAAAAATTTTTTTTTTAAAGATTTTATTTATTTGACAGAGAGAGAATACAAGCAGGGAGAGTGTGAGAGGGAGAGGGAGAAGCAGGCTCCCAGCTGAGCAGGAAGACTGATGATGGACTCCAACCCAGGACCCTGATATCATGACCTCAACTGAAGGCAAGCACTTAACATAGTGAACCACCCAGATGCCCCCCAAAATGCATTTGTTTTTAAAAGTAGATCAAGGAACGTGTTTGAAACACGCCAACAAAGAACCTGGCGGGCTACCAGGGAATACCTTCTCAACACACTCAGTCCTGCAAACTCACCAAACGGACTTTCTTCTCTTCTTTTAGCTGTTTCCACACATCGCTATACATTTCATCCAGACCTTGCCGAGTTTGCTTGTAAGTCTCCAGCTCAACTTTCGTGTCTTGTTTTGTTATCTGTGTCAAACAAGAACAAGAGGAATGGTTTGTTTATGGAAGTGAGCTAACTACAATCTATTTTAAAATATACCATTGGGATGCCCAGCTGGCTCAGTCCGTAGAGTATACGTGACCCTTCATCTCAGGATCATGAGTTCAAAGCCCCACCGTGGGCATGGAGCCTACTTAAACTAAGAGAAAAAAAAAATTCTTCTTAATGTCACAATTTTTAAAGATGTAAGATAAATTCTATTTTTTAAGCGTAACAGAAAAAGGTTAAGATATTTCAAAAATATCTTTGAACTTGAAGGACGGAAGCAAGTCACCAGACTTTTGAAAGTTGGATTCGGAAAACAATTTGTATTTAATTTTCTTTAAAGCAGAGCAGTTGTTCTCAGTGGGAAAGGCCCCCATTCAGCGCGGACTTTCCTTTACCCGGCACGTTCTTCAGCACCGGGGATTTGGAGATGAACCAGATATGGTCTCTCCGTGCTCTCAGGTCATCAGGTAGGACAGCTGCCGGCCAGCAGCTCTGCAGCACAGGAAAGGGGTTCTCTATCGCAGGGACGCGCAAGCAGCTGTGGCGCCGGGGGTGGCATCCCAGCACGGCCCAGGTGGCCCGCGAGGGGGAGGGCGGGCGCAGCGGCACCAAATGCCGCAGCTGCGCACTGTGTGCGGCCCATGTCACTGCCGCACAGGGGGCTCGAGGTGGGTCAGGGACGCATTCGCGCGTCTCGTCTCACCTCCACACTCTTCTCACTTCTTTCGCGAATTAACTCGTTTTGTTCTCTCAGTTGTTGCTGTTCTTCTTGAAGCGAACAGATCCGGTCTGTCGCAGCTGAAAGCTGGTAAAGAAAGATGTTTATGTTTCTCGACGTCAGCACTACTCTTACCGCTCAAATTTAAAAGCTGACGTCCGGCACCTTCGCAGGTGACGATGGATTTCCACGTATCTGATACCTTGTTTCTCGTTTCAGTTCTGGGTTTTGCATAGGTAATACGCGGACATAGCTTTGAAAACACGAGAGCAAACTAGTTCACGGCAAACATTCGCGGACACAAACTGACAGATGCTTGAATGTCCAACCCTGGAGAAGTGGTTTAACGAATGGCAGTGGGAGCATCAGACGAACACGTAGTTACTAGAAGGTCTGCAGAGGTTTTTAATGACCTGAGAACATACTTAGGGCAGAACAGCGGGAGGGGAAAAAAGTGGGTTATATAGGATGTTCTCACCTCTAATTAAAAAAAAAAAAAAAAAAAAATGCCCTAGGTGAAAAACGCCTAGGAAAATTTGGTGCCTATATAAACACCAATGATGAAAGTGGTCACAGTAGCTCTCACTTAGCAAAGGGATTGTGGGCTTTTGTTCTGATTCTTGGTTTTCAGTTTTGCCAGCCATTAAGCAGAAGGATATTTGATCCCCGGAGGGAGAGTGAAAGCCTTCTCGGGGAGGAATCAGAAGATAGGCCCTGGAGAGCCTCTTCCTGTCCTTGAGTGAGTTCCCATAGTTTAGGGCAAAGTGTATTGGAACAGGATGGCTAGGGAGAGGCAGGCAGAGGCGTGAGTACACTCACCAACCTCTCCTTATCCAGCCTCCCAACAGGGCCTGGCGAGAGAAGGGCAGGCTGGGGAAGGGGAAAGAAGAGGGACAGTTGGTGGTGCTCTTGGCATCACTCACCAAAGCGGGGGAGGGCCTGAAGCACCCAACTCCTTGCTCACCTTCCTCAAAAGCATCTAAGTCCAAGCGGACTAGGAACCCATGACTGGGGCTTCTAACCATGAACTGCTGCACCCAAAAAAGGAACTTCATGGCTCTGGGAGGTGCTAGTTGCTACAAGGGGAAGAAGCGGGCAAAAGCCAGACGCTAATTCCCATCCGCTCTCTGAAGACAGAGAGAGCACACCCTGAAGAGGGACTTTTCTCTAAAGTAGGTTTTCTTTTAAAACGGTTGGCCTTTGAAGAAAAAAATAACCCAGTTGTTTAGTTTCAAAAGCTAAAATTAGACCTTCACTGAAAGTATGCCACCTAGCCAGGGAGAGCAAAGAATCAAACTGTTTGATCTAAAACCAACTGATGTCTCCACACGCCAAGTGTTGTATTAGGCAAATTTACAGAATACTAATCTAATTTCTACAGCACTGCGAGGTATGGGTTATCATCCAATCTGGAGATGAGAACTGTGAGTCCAAAGACCTGCCTACCTAAACTGAGGCCCAGAGGCCCACCCCCCACCCCAGGGAAACGTGGGTCCTCTAATTCTAAGTGTGGTGAAGCTGCTCCCGGGAAGCCCATCTATGAAGGCCACCTCTCAATTTCTTTCTCTCACATAAATCTGACCTCCTCTCCTTAAAGCTTTTCAGGGCTGGCCCCGTGGGAGAGAGCAGTCAGTTTAAAGTAAGACTTAAACTGGGCCCTCCACACAAAAGCATGCTCTGTGTCTCTCCTTTGGCCATAACCTGCCTCCACACCGAGGTGGGGGGGGTCACGCCCTGGCCCCTGTCACAGCCCTCTTCCTCCCCAGGGAGACCTGGTGGGGAGGCCCGAGCAGCCAGGGACCGCTACCTGTGGAAAGCCTCAGAAAGGCTGAGCAACCCCCCTCCTGCTAACAGGAGACAAGATGTGTCCACCAAGGAGACTGCCGGGCAGCTGGCAGCAAGCTTTCTTCCTCGGCCTCAGCCCTCCTTCTTCCTGTCCTTTCATTCTCTCTCTTCCTAGTGAGAAAGCAGAGAAAGACCACACTGTGGGGAGACTGGTTCCATACTCCTGAGAGGCCGAAACACAGAAGGGGTGGGCAAGGGTTACTTTTACCTCATAAGGGTCTGTGCCTTCTGGGCAGCAGGGGGACAGACTACATCAGAGGAAGGTGGGTAAAGAGGAAGAGAAAAGCATCTTCACCATAGGAGCTGGGCTTTCCCAAGGAGGCCTGGTCTTCCCCGGGTGCACTGTGCGGTGGTGAAACCTAAGTCACTTAGAACTGGCTCATGATCGGCTGCCCTGGCTCATGGGCAGCCCTGGCAGGGCTGAACACAGACATTCTGAGGATGCAGAACTCTGAGAACGCTGACCCCCTGCGCAGCTCAACCCAAGCTTAGCAATCCCATTCCGACCAGCGAGAAGCTCTGGTCAGATACACCAACCATACCATCTCTGCACCTCGGGCCACTCTGTTCTAAGAACTTCAGAAAGTTACAAACCTCTTCTTCAAGTTTTGAATTCGTCTTTTCCAAGCCATCTATCTTGCTTTGAAGATCCCCAACTGTGCAGCTAGAGAAAACAACACATTAAGTAACAGTGAGCTTATAAAGGCTGTCTCCCCAGCCTGTGAACAATAACAGATTCCTAGGTTTCCTGTGCAGTGGATGGAGAGCCGAGGGTCTCCAATGAACTGAGACGAGAATTCTAAATACGTATGTATGTGTGCGTATGTACACATTTACTGAAAAGGCTTCAATGTCTTTCCCCCCAAATATGCTATCCATTTCTTTTTTAGCCAGTTGGAAAGGAAACAGATTTTTTTCCCCCTAACACGATAGATGGGAACCAAAATGCGCCAGTGGTCATTTATCTAGATCATTATCTGTAACAAGATATTGGTACTCTGGGGTTATAGGATCAAAGGAGGTTTTTATTTTTTATTTATTATTATTTTTTAAAAGATTTTATTTTATTTATTTGACAGACAGAGATCACAAGTAAGCAGAGAGTCAGGCAGAGGGAGAGGGAGAAGCAGGCTCCCTGCTGAGCAGAGAGCCTGAAGCGGGGCTCGATCCCAGGACCCTGAGACCATGACCCGAGCCGAAGGCAGAGGCTTTAACCCACTGAGCCACCCAGGTGCCCCTTAAAGGAGGTTTTTAAATTGTTTTTATACTTTGCTTCATTTTTCAAATGCTCTAAGTAATCTATACTACCTTCCTATTGAAAAACATGTCAAACTGATGTAAATTTGATAAACAATAAAAATAATGGCAACAATAACAAGCAGTAACTTCCTCTCTGGACGATGTGCCAGGCCCTGTTTGTTCTAAGCATTTCAGTGCATTAACTCATGTGACCCTCCCAATGATTCTGTGAGTAAATCTCACTGTTACCTGTTTCACAGATGAGGAAACCGTAACTTTACATTGGAAAACTCACTCATGTTCATTCCCCACTGGTGGGGCACCAGGATCTGAACCTAGGTGGTCTGGCTCCAGGCCCTGCTGCCCCAAACTAGTGCCTTTTGCCACTGAGGCAGGGACAAAGAAACAAACCCTGGGAGACTTGTGAATCAAGGTTCAAGGATTGCAGGGATGGGGGTGGGGTGGGGGGGAAATGGCAGGGTGGTGAGAAAATTATACAATGACACAAAGCAGAAAAAGGAACACAAACAAAAGATATGGAGGTAATTACAAGGTTTTTGTTTTTGTTTTAAGTGGGTGCCACACCCAGGGTGAAACCCTGTGTGGGGCTTGAAGTCAGGACTTGAGATTGAGACTTGATCTAAGATCAGGCATCAGATGCTTAACCAACTGAGCCACACAGCCTCCTTGAGAACTACAAATTTTGAAAGTATACCACTTTCAGTTCTATTCCAACTATAAAACTTAGAAAATGTCACTAAATTTATACATTTCTTAGAAAATATAGATGACCAAAAGAGAGATATCCTCAGAAGGAAAAAATCTAAACAAACTTAGGAAAAACTGAAAAACTGAAAAGCAAAGTACTGCCTCAACAAAGGCTTTGAGCTTCACATTTTCTTTCTTTTTTTTTTTTTAGAATTCCTACGCCCAACAAGGGGCTCAAACTCAAAACCCTGGGATCGAGAGTCCCATATTCCACCGACTGAGCCAGCTAGGCATCCCAAGCTTCATGTTTTTAAGGAGCAAAGAATGCTCATGAACCAGAACTAATTCATTTTGTGAAGCTGCAAAACCCTGACACCACACTGGATAGGAAAAACCAGAGAACAATTAGATCAGTTTACATATTAAAAAATGATTATTAAGTCTACAATCAGGGTGTGCTTGGGTGGCTCATATGGTTAAATGTCTGCCTCCAGCTCAGGTCAGGACCCCAGGGTCCTGGGATCAAGTCCTGCATAGGGCTCCCTGCTCAGCCGGGTGTCCGTTTCTCCCTCTCCCTTTGCCCCTCCCCCTGCTCATGCTCTCTCTCAAATGAAAAAAATCTTTAAAAAGTAAAATACAAATACAATCATGTAGGGTTTATCCCTGTGATATAGAAATGGCTCAATATGAAGATTTCTACTAATAAATAACATCCCATCAACAGATTAAGGGATAAAAGTCATGATTGCCTCAATGAAGCAAAGGGCACTCGATAAAATCTAACACCTCTTCCTTATAAAAATGCTCAATAAGTAAGGGATCTATCAAGAATGTCTCACAATAGGGGTGCCTGGGTGGCTCAGTGGGTTAAGCCGCTGCCTTCGGCTCAGGTCATGATCTCAGGGTCCTGGGATCTCTCTCTCTCTCTCTCTGCCTGCCTCTCCGTCTACTTGTGATCTCTCTCTCTGTCAAATAAATAAATAAAATCTTTAAAAAAAAAAAAAAAAAGAATGTCTCACAATAGTAGCCAACATCACACCTAAGGAGAACTTGGAGCAGCTTTCCCCATATGGCGACACCGTGCCAGCTCCTTTAGCTGTCTCACTGGCGCTTGGGGCCAGAGGGGCCGCTCCCGTGGAGCGGGGCTAATATGCACCGCACACCCTCAGAGAGGATTCAGAGACACAGAGAACAACAGGTCTCCCAAACCCCTGACTGAGAATCTCTGCCCGCTCCCCACCACCACTGCCATCGGCTAGTGCTTCAGGAAACACAGCAGCAGCTTTCCAATTAAAATGAAAAAAATCAAGGTACAAGACGCCTGCTTTTTGCTACTGAACTATCATCAAAAGTCTAGCCCTGAAGGGTTTTCAACCCTTTTATCCTGCCCTGGCACCCCAGAGGGATGCGTGATGACTGCCAGCCGGAACAGGGCTTCCCGCGGCTGTGACTTCCAACCAGGCGGCTGAGGTGCGAGGGGTAGAGATTCAAGGTATAATCTGGTTGCTTTCTACATTGTCTAACTACACAAAACAAAGAACGCAAGAATTCCCAAAGCTCCTTATTGAGAAATCATACTTCTCCAATCTGCATACATAAGCATGATAACCTTCTTTCTTGGCTTGGCAAAAGCGTCAGTTATGAATATATGGCAGTTCAAAAATGTTCCATGAAACAATTATTGGGTATTGAGACCGAACTGTAACAATGGAGAAAGGAGCGAGTCCTACCTTAAGTGCCGGTTAAGTTCTTCCACGTAATTTTTTTGATCAAGGACATCAGTAATTCTTTCGTGCCTTTTAAAAAGAGCATAAAAAGAGAGACATTCCTTTTATTTGTGGCTAATACTTTGTAACCATCCCCCAACACGTTGATCACCTTGAAGAAGTACCAAAGTCATCAGGAAACCTAGGGACAGTCAGACCTTCTTAATAACGTCTCCCTGGTCCCAATCCCAGAACAAACAGAGAGCAAAGCTGGCCAAGGGTTGGGGTGTGGCAGGGACAGTGGCCAGGGTCTTGGGAGATGCAAAAACATGAGCAGACCTCTGGCAGACCCCCTCCTGCCCCGGCAGGCCGGGCATCTGGGAAGAGGAGAGAAAGCCATCTGGCACAAGGTGCCCTCCCTCGAGGTGGCTGATGAAGCAGCCCCTGTCGTGCTGAAGGGAAAGAGGGTAGCTCAAGAAAGCACACCAGAGCCCTTTTAACACATAAAGCTGACCGGTCTGGCTTAAAAACGAACAAACAAAAAAACCCCAAAACTTCTATATTTTAAAGTTACGCTTTCCTCCAAACCCCAGCTTCTCTACATATATATGTATGTTCACACAGGTGCATGCCACAGGTGCTGGATTGTTCAGCATGGTCAGCTGTTTCTTTTACCTGTTCTGCCCTTCACATAGGTGTGCAGGTAACCCGAGTGAATAGTCTGCTGAGCCTATAGGCATATGATCCTAATATACCTCTGTGTCATACACATAGGTACTTACACATAGGTACCTATGTATAGGTAGGGTATGTAATTGAAACATAAAAATATATTAGGGATTTCTTAGGTTTGTCTACAAACACGATATACAGTTGACCCTTGAATAATGCAAAGGTTAGGGCCCTAACCCTTACATGCAGTTGAAAATCTGCATGTAACTTCTGACTCCTCAGAAACTTTACTAATGGCCTACTATTGACTGGAAGCCTTACCAATTACGTAATCAACACGTATTTCGAGTGTTATACAGAATATATACTTTAGTCTTACAAAGAAATAAGTTAAAGAAAATCATAAGGTTGGGGGGCCTGGATGGCACAGCTGCTTCAGCAACCGATTCCTCGTTTCAGCTCAGGTCTGATCTCAGGTTTGAGAGACCGAGCCCCACGCCAGGCTCCGTGCTCTGTGCAGAGTCTGCTTGAGATTCTCTCTCTCTCCCTCTCCTTCTGCCCCTCCTCTCCTTCTCTAAAATAATAAATCTTAAAAAAAAAAAAAAAAGAGAGAGAAAATCAGAAGGAAAACACATTTAAAGTACTGTACTGTATTTATTGAAAAAAAAAAATCTATGTATAAGTAGACTTACGCAGTTTGAACCCGTGTTGTTCAGTGGTCAACTGTATACACCTGTCAATATCATACTTTTCTCACTCAGGAATACCTTGTAGAAATCCCTTTAGATCTACTATACCCAGTAGGTGAAATTTGTTCTGTCTGCCTAATATATCACAGAGTGAATATTTTGAATGTCCCATAATTTATTCAATTATCCCCTTACTGATAATCAGTTTATTTCCATTTCTTTACATTAATTATATATGTATATATAAATTTTATTTTTAAGTAATCTTACACCCAACCTGGGGCTCAAACTTACAACCCTGAGACCGAGTTGCACGCTCTACTGACTGAGCCAGCCAGGCACCCCAAGAATCTATTTTTAAGTCTTAACTGGGTGAATCCTTGTACCCCTGAAACATTAATGGGGTTCCCACTGACAGATAAGGTGTGCTGCTAGGGCACACAGACCATGAGAACCCTTCTCAGAACACATTTGAAAGACAGGTGGTGAAATATTCAAACACAATCCAAAGGCTTACGGTGAAACTACCCCCAGCCTCTTCCCCGCCAGGCAGCCCATGTTAGCCGGTCCATATGCTACTCTAGAAGAGTCCATGTGCGAGGAAGTACAGCATGTAAATATGGATGTATATTCTTTATCGTAACTCAAATGGCAGCATGTTATACACAGTGCTTGCTTTGTTTACTTCTCTTCTGTCCCAGAAAAGCTCCTTTAAAAGAATGTTCTCATTAACCAGCATGAAGGAGAGCTACGTGTGGCACGAGGAGACAGCTGAGACACCAGGATCAAAGAACAAGTCCCAAGGGAACTTATGTCTATATAATAGCACCATCCCACTTATATTCAAACAAACCATAAGGCAAGTTATACGACCAACAGATATGTCTTTGGCGTTTGGAAAAGCCGTGGGAGGAGACCCGAGCAGGGTCTCCCCACTGAGGTAGGGGCGGGCCAGGGCAGTGAGCTGGGGATGTGAATGGGCACATTTCACTTGTCTTCTCTATTCTGCAGAGCTCAGTTCCTTGTACGAGGGAATATTATTGTATTACTTCTGTAACTAAGACACCCGATGAGAATGAAAATGGCACACAAAGCCAACGCCAATGTAGCCTTGTCATAAAAATCAGAATTTCATGAAACCATGAAGAGCAGCAGCACGCAGGGCGGTACTTACTCTTTGCCGCCATCAAGCTCCTGCACATCCTTAAGGTAGAGGGAAAAATCAATCACGCCAACCTGATTGACATGAAAAGCACAAGTTTAAATAAGAGAGACTTGTCCCGTTCTCCACAAACCTTGTATCTTTAAAATTTAGGGTATTTACGTTCCTGTCTCTTTCCTACAAACATCTAGTTGGCCTAACCAGCTCTATAAAAGCAATCGATGGAACCCACAAACCAAGAGAAAAATAACCCTACCCCCTTCTAGAAGAAAAAGGTATTAAAAAACCAGAATTTGGGGGAGGGGAGTGCACCAGCGTGGCTCAGTTGGTTAGGCAACCGACTCTTGATTTTAGCTCAGGTCATACATGATCTCAGGGCGGGATCGAGCCCTGCACTGGGCTCCACGCTCAGCAGGGAGTCTGCCTGAGAGTCTCTCTCTCTCTCTCTCTGCCCCTCCTGCTCTCTAAATAAATAAATACATTTTATTTATTTATTTATTTATTTGACAGACAGAGATCACAAGTAGGCAGAGAGGCAGGCAGAGAAAGAGGGAGAAGCAGGCTCCCTGCTGAGCAGAGAGCCCCATGAGGGGCTCGATCCCAGGACCCTGAGACCATGACCTGAGCCGAAGGCAGAGGCTTTACCCACTGAGCCACCCAGGTGCCCCAATAAATACATTTTTTAAAAAATGAGAATTTAAGGGAATTTTCTGAAGTTTTCCTCCCTTGTCAAGGTTAGTTTTGTGTATTTATTCGACAATCAAGTTGCTGACAGAGATCAATAACAACAACAACAACAAAAAAGAGGCCTGGGTTGCTAGACCAAGGTGGTAGGTAACCTTAACTGATATCTTGACTCCTTCCGTCCCTAAATTGTGGGTGAAATGGTCCTATTTCATTTTCCAGGGGACATTCTCTGCTGCTGTGGAGAACAAGGGAGGACCCAAATCCCTCCATCTGGATGTTATGGGCTTTGTCCAGAAATAAAGCACTTGGAAAGAATGAGAGCCTGGTCTGCCACTGTCCACTCCAGTGTGAGTAAATGAAACCAGTCTTATTTGAAAAATGGGAAAACTGGGTCCATCAGTAGTACTGTTCATTCATGTAAGAGCCCTATCACAGATCTTTACACAACCGTAAGAAAGAACGCCATGGAGGGATGTATAGCGACATGAAGAAAGCTTCAGGAGAAAATGTTAAGTCCTAGAGGGATAGGTACAGCATTAACTCTTTATAGTAACACCATTTTTTATTTTAATTTTTAAAGAAGATTTTATTTATTTGAGAGAGAGCGCAAGCACGAATGGGGGAAAGGCAGAGAGAGGGAGAAGCAGACTCCCTGCTGAGCAAGGAGCCCGATGGAATGTGGGGCTTGATCTTAGGATCCTGGGATCATGACCTGAGCTGAAAGCAGACGCTTAACCGACTGAGCCACCCAGGTGCGCCATAACACCATTAAAAAAAAAAAAAAAGATTTATTTATTTAAGAGAGAGAACACGTGCGCATGGGAGAGAATCTCAAGCAGACTCCATGCTGAGCACGGAGCCCAAGTAGGGCTCGATTCCACGACCCTGAGATCATGACGTGAGCTGAAACCAGGAGTCGGATGTTCAACTGATTCAGCCACCCAGGTGTCCCTATAGTAACACCATTTATGTTAAAGCCAGAGCCACGTGGGAGGGCTTCTATAACTTCTCTGTCACACCTCCTACCAATCTATATTCCCGACGCTTGAACCTGGGCAGCCTCAGTGTCTGTCTTCAGTCAAAAGCGGCAGACACGTGGCTATGATTTCTGCAGCCACATTAATGAAGGCAACACAAGCTTCTTCCTGGCTCTCGCTATAGGGGTGTATACCTCTGAGCTTCCACGGAGGAATTCTGGCCACTCTGGAGCTACCATGCTGGAGAACAAGTGGAGAAGACCACAAGAGGACAGAGGTGCCTGAGAGGTCTCGGCTGTTCCAGTCCCAGCTCACTGAGTCCCTTCGCAGCCCAGAAGACAGACAAGCAAGACAGGAAGCCTCAGTGGTTGCTGCCCTGCCGGCAACCCGACTGCAATCATAGAGCCCTCAGTCAAGAAGTGCCTGCCTCTTTCAGCCCAGTCAACTCCCGCCGGAGATACAGTGATGACTGCTGGTTACCGGGCTGGGGATTCCTTACCCAGAAATAGGAGCAAGAAAGGATGCACTTTGAAACAAAGCCTACATAAACATAAATGCAGAGAAAAAAGGAGAACTGGTTCTAGAAAGACTTTCCCCTCGGTTTTTACCGTTCTCTGTGGGGATGAGTGAGATTGACAGGGGAAGGGAGAAAGGAGTTTGAATTTTACTTTTCATCTGATATGCTTCTGTATAAACTTTTTTCAACAAGCGCACATTTCTTTTGCAATAAAATTAATAATAAAAAGAAATAAAGGCCGCTTAGCTGGCTCAGTGGGTGGAGCAAGCAACTCTTGATCTTGGGTTGTGAGTTCAAACCCCACACTGGGTGTAGAGATTACTCAAAAATAAAATCTTTAAAAAACTAAATAATAAAATTAAATAAAAAGGAAATACATTTTCTTTTTTTTTTTTTAAAGATTTTTTTTTAAATTTATTTATTTGACAGAGAGAGATCACAAGCAGGCAGAGAGGCAGGCAGAGAGAGAGGAGGAAGCAGGCTCCCCGCCGAGCAGAGAGCCTGATGCGGGGCTCGATCCCAGGACCCCGAGATCATGACCTGAGCCAAAGGCAGTGGCTTAACCCACTGAGCCACCCAGGTGCCCCAAAAGAAATACATTTTCAACTGCAAAAAAACACACACACACACCCAACAATAGAAAGAAAGAGAGGGATGCTAGGGTGGCTCAGCTGGTTAAAATCTAACTTTGGCTCAGGTCATGATTCCAGGGTCCTGGGATCGAGTCCCGCATCAGGGTCTGTGCTCAGCGGGAAGTCTGCTTCTCCCTCTCCCCTTGCTCCTCCCCGCTGCTCATGTTCTCTCTCTCTGTCAAATTAATAAAAGCTTAAAAAAAAAAAAAAAGAAAGAAGGACAGAAGGAAAGGAGAGAGAGTTAACACTCAAATAGACATTAATGGATCAGGAAGCAAATAAAGCCCTTCTCCCAAAGCAAAACTGATCAATAAAAGCAAGAGCTGATTCTTCAAACTCAACACAGCTGACAAATCTCTATCAAGTATGGTCGGTAGTTAGTGGCAAGTACACAATACTGCAAATGAGAAAGTGAGATTTTAAGATGCTATAAAGGAATACTCTCATATAACTAATAGATCTGAATGAAATAAATGACTTCTGGAAAAATGTAAGTGACTAAAAAATCATCCCAAGCCATAGGAAACCAGTACACAGACCAAGAGCTAAGTAAAAAATTAAAGTGGTCAAAGAACTATGACCAGGGTGCCTGGGTGGCTCAGTGGGTTAAAGCCTCTGCCTTCCACTCAGGTCGTGATCCCGGAGTCCTTGGATCGAGCCCCGCATCAGGCTCTCTGCTCAGCAGGGAGCCTGCTTCCTCCTCTCTCTCTGCCTGCTTCTCTGCCTACTTGTGATCTCCGTCTGTCAAATAAATAAATAAAATCTTTAAAAAAAAACAACAAAACTATGACCAAAAGAAAAGCATAAAGCTGAAGAGGTCATACCAGGAAGAAACCTTCAAATAAAAAAAATAATTCCTGCTCTAATAAACAGTTACAGAAAACAAGAAAAGAACATTATCCACCTTATTTTCTGAGATTAACACAATTCTGACACCACGAAGGGACAAAGAGCTGTGAAATCTAGGCGTATGCTAGAAGAATAACGCGCGATGGCCACTTTGGGTTTATTTTAGGAATGCAGAGGTAATATCACAACAGGAAACCTATGCATGAATTCCATTATATTTATGGGATAAAAGATAAAGACATTTCAAAAGACGCCCAAAAAAGGGTATGTGATGGCACTGCATGCTCATTTTTAATAAAAATGTGAAATAAATTAGACTGGAGCAGTACTTTCTAAACATTAAGAGGATCCCCTCAGACACCAGCAGCAAGCCTTCACACCTCCTGGTGGCATATGAGAGGCACTGAGCTGAAGAACAGAGCACGGGAATGTACAGAAGCCTCGAGTCACTACACTGTCCACCTGAAACTAATATAATGCTAAATGTCTACTAGAATTAAAAAAAAAAAAAAATTCTACCCTGAGCACAGACACACATACAGAAATTTTTTTTTTTTAAGATTTTATTTATTTATTTCACAGACAGAGATCACAAGTAGGCAGAGAGGCAGGCAGAGAGGGTGGGGGAGCAGGCTCCCTGCCAAGCAGAGAGCCCGATGTGGGGCTCGATCCCAGGACACCGGGATCATGACCTGAGCCGAAGGCACAGTCTTTAACCCACTGAGCCACCCAGGTGCCCCGACATATAGAAATTGTATTTAAAACTAAAAAATGAGGGGCCCCTGGGTGGCTCAGTGGGTTAAGCCTCTGCCTTCAGCTCAGGTCATGATCCCAGGATCCTGGGATCAAGCCCCACATCGGGCTCTCTGCTCTCTCTGCCTGGCTCTCTGCCTACTTGTGATCTAATAAATAAATAAAAAATCTTAAAAAAAAAACTAAACTAAAAAAATGAATGAAACAGCTGACAACTGTCATTTCAGAGGACTCTTCCAAGGTTCTCTCAGATTGTCTCTTAAATGATGGTAATTAACAATAAATAACACTACAGGGAAGTGTAGGTGGTTCAGTCAAGTATCCGCCTTCGGCTCAAGTCTTGATGTCAGGCTCCCTGCTCAGTGGGGTGTCCTCTCCCTCTGCCCTCCCCCTCCCCCTGTGCTTGTGCTTACTCCCTCTGTCAAATAAATAAATAAAATCTTAAACAAAAAAAAAAGACTGTTACTGACATAGGATAAAGAGATTCAGAGACTAGTAGGCCTTTGAATCCAGAAATAAACCTCAGTGGATTAGGGATAGTTCACACATAATAAAGGTGAAATTTCAGATTAGTAGAAAAATGTACTTGATACATGATACTGAGAAAACTGGTTTAGTGTTTGTAAATGAAACCCAGACTCCCATTTCACACTATGTCAAAATAAATGACAGGCATTATAAATGTAAAAAATAGTTGATTTTAAAAAGTAGGTTAATTTTTAGATGGGGAAGGACTTTCTAAGCACAGTACCTTAGAAGGGATAAAGAAAAAGTCCATTAAATGTGACTGCTGGGGTGCCTAGCTGGCCCAGTCAGTAGAGCATGTAACTCTTGATCTCAGGGCTGTGGGTTCGAGCCCCGTGGTTGGAGCAGAGATTATGTAAAAACAATCTTTGGGGTAAAGAAATAAATTTGACTGCAAAAAACCCCTTTCTTTCCTTGCAGGGAAAATAGCTGTAAGAAAACCAGAAAAAAAACTGATAACCAAAATTCTGACAGTTAATATCATTAATCTATAATAAAGGAGTAGAAAAAATGGAAGACTCAGAAAAATGGGAGGAACTGAACAGGGAGTCACAAAAGGAACAGGAAGGGGAGTCACAAAAACGGAACCACCAACGGCAAATAAAACATGTAAAAAATACTTGACCTCCGGAGTTTTCAAAAAGGTAAATTTGGTGGGGCACCTGGCTGGCTCAGATGGTAGAGCATGTGACTCTTGATCTCAAGGTCTTGAGTTCAAGCCCCATGTTGGGCATGAAGCCTACTTTAAAAAATAAACAGGGTCACCTAGGTGGCTCAATTAGTTAAGTGACTTTTTAAAATTAAATTAAAAAAATATTTTATTTGAGAGAGAGCACACATGTGTGCACTCGCATGAACAGAGGGAAGGGTAGAGAGAGTGGGGGAAAAGCAGACTCCTCATTGAATGGAGAGTCCAACACAGGGCTTGATCCCAGGACCCTGAGATCATGACTGAAGGCAGATGCTTAACTGACAACCTTCAACTGACTCTTGATTTCGGCTCAAGTCACGATCTCAGGGTTGTGAGGTCCAGCCCCTGGGGCTCCATGCTCAGTGGGTAGTCTACTTGAGATTCTCTCCCTCTCCTCCAGCACGGGCACACTCTCTCTTTCTAAGATGAATCTTCAAACAAAACAAAACAAACCCCCAAAACTAAACATGCTTTAAAAAAATGTAAATTTGAGAGGAGCTGTTTTGGTCTGTGAGATTGAAAAAGATCAAGGTGCCATCATGACGTCGTCACACTGATATAGGATGTTTACTTTAACACAGAAAGTCCATAATTTATCCTAAGGAAATCAATGGACAACAGTGCGAAGAGGCATGAGGATGTTTATAGTACTGTTGTAATATGGAATCAACCTCAGTTAATAAGGCCCTGGTTAAATAAACTACGGTACGCTCATCAAACGAATCCAGGCATACATTGTTTTATTACCTTTTGCTCTATTGCACTTCCCAGACACTGCATGTTTACAAGGGGTGGCTCTATGGCAGCCATGTGTTGGGCAGGTCTATCAGCACCGTTTTCCGAACAGCATTTGCTCCCCCTGTGTCTGTGTCACATTTTGGTAATCATGGATTTCAAACTTTTCCTATTACTACATTTGTTATGATGAGCTGTGATCAGTCATTACGACTTGCTGAAAGCTCAGATGATGGTTAGAATTTTTTTAGCAAGAAAGTAGTTTAAAATTAAGGTATGGGGAACCTGGGTTGCTCAGTCGGTTAAGTGTCTGCCTTCAGCTCAGGTCATGATCGCGGGGTCCTGGTATTGAGCCCTGCGTTGGGCTCCCTGCTCTGCAGGGATTCTGCTTCTTCCTCTCCCTCTGACCTTCTACCCTGCTTGTGCTCCCTCAAATAAATAAATAAAATCTTTAAAAAACACTTTACATGGGGCACCTGGGTGGCTTAGTGGGTTAAAGTCTCTGCCTTTGGCTCAGGTCATGATCCCAGGGTCTTGGGATTGAGCCCCGCATCGGGCACTTTGCTCCACAGGGAGCCTGCTTCCTCCTCTCTCTCTCTGCCTGCCTCTCTGCCTACTTGTGATCTCTGTCTGTCAAATAAATAAATAAAAATCTTAAAAAAAAAAAAAGAATGCTTAAAAAAATAAAAAACACTTTACACTGACTTTTTGTTTAGTTTACTTAATTTATTTTTATTATTTATTTACACATTGATTTTTTTTTTAAAGATATGGTGCTATCCCACACTTGATAGGCTACAGTATGGTGTAAACATAACTTTTATATGCACTGGGAAACCAAAGAAGGTCATGACTCGTTCTACCGAGATATTTGATTAATTGCAGTGGTCTGGAACCCAAGCCACAGTCTGAGGTATGCTTCTACTGTGCAACCATTTAAATGGCACATATCTCTACTGACATTGAGAGCCACGTGGGACACAGTGTCAAATAAAAACAAAATTACAAAACAGGTGTGCCTGGAATAATCATATTTTGGTTGAAAGAAAGACAGAAGGAAAGATCCAAATACCTCTAAAATACTTCTCTGTATTTTTTGAAACATTTCAACATGCAAAAACAAAACTATTAGGAGGAAAATAGGAAGGAATGGCTTGGGTACGGAGGGATTAGGGGAAGCTTTAGATTCTGCAGATCTGAATTTGAACTTGTGGCAGGAAGCAGGCCAGGCAGTGGCCCAGCCACAGCTACATGTGTCTCCCCCACCACTCACTCACTGTCCCTGCCGCTAGGAGTTTAGGCCTCAGCCCTGATCACCCACTCCCAGGCAGGTAGAAAGGAGGGTGGTCCTGCTCTGCTCCTTGCTGCCTGCTTTCATTTCATGTCCCCTGCACCATCTCCCTTCCCCAACCTCTCCCAACTCTATCCCCTGGTCCACATCCAACCTTGGGGACTTGTCTGCTCCATGTTTTTGATGTCTCCACTCTTGGCCACATCTAACTCATCTCCTGGATTGTTGCTAGATTGCTCTTTCTCAAACCTGGGCCTGATTATGCCGGCACACTGCTTAAAAACCTCTAACGGCTTCTCAAAGCTCCAGGGACAAAAGCATGGCCGTTAGCATGGTATGGATGGCCTGAAAACTGAGGCCGGCCTCTAACTTTGTGGGTCTCCGTGCTCCGGCCCGGACCCCACCCCAGCACAACACCCGGCACAGCCCTGGGGCAAACACCCTCTGCCATTTGCCCCCAGGAAGGTTGGCCACGCATCCACAGACCTGTGTAAAATCCCAGGCCCAAAGAAGGAATTCCACCTCGAGCCAAGATTCCCATCCTACCTGAGAATCCAAGTCTTCTCCTTTTAAGCAGAGATTGGCATCAAGAACATTGAGTCCCACCAGCAGACCGACAATCACCATCCCTTCTTCCTCCATCATTAATGCTTCGGGCTCATAGAACTCACTGCAACAGATTGACACAACAGGCGGCCGGCCCCTCAGGAAGGGAGGCTCACCACCCCTTCTCCCTGACCCGCCCTCCCCTTTCACCCCTCAGTGGATGGGCCAGGCTGCCAGCTTCACCAGGTACCCAGCAACTCTCTGGTGCCATTTCTTGTCCCCGCTTCAAGTGCTGCTCTTTTTTTTCTCGCCCCTCTTCTCTTCCTGTGGTTGAGGATGCGCCCCTCCCGCCTCCAGTCCAAGGCTGACTCCTCCGTCTGGATCCCGGACCCCATTCTCCCTATCTCCTCTTGGCTCCCGTGCTCCTGACCATCACTCTGCCCCGCCTGTCCCCACTGGCGCCTTCTTCCACACTGCTGTGCACTACTATGCCAGCAGGAAGCGGGATCCCACAGCCCCTCACATCCAAGAATAAAACCCCTCCCTCTTCCCTGTGTCCTGCGGAGCCACACTGGCTGCTTTACTTCCTTACCTCCCAGTCGCCTCCGCCCTTCGCAGGGGGACTCCATTCCCCATCTACTACTGCTCCTGGTCACCAAGAATGTGCTCATTTACCCACCGCGTGTGTGTGTGTGTGTGCACGCGCGCACGAGAACTCGGTGACTTAAGAATTAGGGTATGAGGTCATGGGGATGAAAGGTACAGAACGGGGAATATAGCCAATGGTACTGTCAGAACTTTGTATGGCGAGAGATGGTAGCGCACTTGTGAGCACAACACAATAGTGTAGACTTGTGGAATCACTCTGTTGCATACCTGAAACTACTGTAATATTATGTATCAACTCTATTTCAATTAAAAAAAGTTAGTTCATCAGAACAAATCTGCACCTCAAAGTTACTCAGTGTGATTGTACTGAAAGCACAAAGTACACGAAGTATTTGAAATCCCTATTTATCATGTAAAGATATGTGCAATAAGCCATGACTTGCGAATAATGAAAAATTCTGAGTGGCAGGCCATACTATAACAGATGTTTTTAATTCAGTCAGACAAAAAACGCTAACTCTAGGGAGAGTCTCCCCTTCCAAATTCCCAGGTTCTAGAAAAAAATTCCTTTGTGAGGATTATTTGTGCTTACATGTGAGTATCAAAAATGAACCAGTCATCAACTTTGGGGACAGCCAGTTAGTTGTTACTGATGCTAAGAGATAGAAAATTTTATAAGATGGACATGGAATCTTAAAATAGGTAACAAAGGTATTCTCTCTTATAAAAGGCAGGTTTTTATACTTTAAAATTGTCCACTGCCTCTAGTTTTTTTTTTTTTTTTTTTTAAGATTTTTATTTATTTATTTGACAGAGAGAGATCACAAGCAGGCAGAGAGGCAGGCAGAGAGAGAGAGGAAGGGGGAAGCAGGCTCCCTGCTGAGCAGAGAGCCCGACGCGGGACTCGATCCCAGGACCCTGAGATCACGACCTGAGCCGAAGGCAGCGGCTTAACCCACTGAGCCACCCAGGCGCCCCCACTGCCTCTAGTTTTAAAAGCATTTTTCCCCCTATTATCAATAAATCTAATAGATACCATATCATTGAAGTTTAATAGAGTGGGTTGTCTGCTTCTTAATCTTAGGTATTTCTAAAGAATTATCTTTGAAAGGGCTTTTCAAAATGAAAAGCAGTAGGAATCTTCATTCAAAATGACTTTCAGATACCCAAGTTCGAAAAACGAAATACTCTTTAAAAACTAAGCCACAGGGGACACTTGGTGGCTCAGTCATTAAGCGTCTGCCTTCAGCTCAGATCATGCTTCCAGTGTCCTGGGATCCAGCCCTGTGTCAGGGCTCCCTACTCAGCAGGGAGCCTGCTTCTCCCTCTCCCATTCCCCCTGCTTGTGTTCCCTCTTTTGCTGTGTCTCTCCTTGTCAAATAAATTAATAAAATCTTTAAAAAAATCAAAAAATTAAAATTAAAATCTTAAAAAAAAAAAACCCACCCCAAAACCAAGCCACAGGATGTTTATGATGAACAATAACTCAAATAAAAGCTGTGTACATCGTACACTCCTGTTTTAATTCCAAACTATTTCCAGAACGATGTTCTAAGTATGTACAGAGCAAAAGACAACCAAAGACAGGAGGTAAAATACCTTAAGAGATGTTTATTGTCTATGAGCACTTTCAGATAATCTGCCAGTTTCTTCTGCATGAGCGCAAGATACAGCCAGGCTCTGCCTCTTCCCACAGCCGTCCTGGAATTCAGTGAAGCAGCAAACTGTTAAAGCATGACACCAAAACCCCCCAAACCCCCAATTTAGCTGAAGAGAGACACGTATTCCCGCATGTACGTGCATGTGAACACAGGGAATGCCATGGGAATAGCAGCTTTGGGGCCTGGCTGTAGCAAAGTCTAGGAAGGCCCAGAAAATAGCTTTCTGCAAACCTCTGGGTACAGTTTGAATTTTGTATCACGGACATGTATTTTTGGTTTGTTTTGAGGAGAGAAAAAAACTCTCAAGCCACAAAAAAAAATCCGATTTCTGGAACAAATACAATTAGATAAAACTTGGCATAGATTCATAAAATTTCACATGGGGCCAGGAAATAGCTGATTAGTATACTGCATAAACATTTCTTCAAAAGATTAATATATAGGGGTACCTGGGTGGCTCGGTTGTTAAGCATCTACCTTCAGCTCAGGTCATGATCCCGGGGTCCTGGAATCGAGCCCTACATCGGGCTCCCTGCTCTGCTGGAAAGCCTGCTTCTCCCTCTCCCACTCCCTCTGCTTGTGTTCCCTCTCTCACTGTGTGTCTCTGTCAAATAAATAAATAAAATCTTAAAAAAAAATTAATATATGGAACATAGTGTTTGTTGATGTGTTGAAGTCTCACGTCCCTAGGCATTGGCTCAAAGGTGCAACTTTATTTTTAATTGTGGCAAAATACACAGAACATAAAAATTCACCTTCTTACATGTATACTTCACTAGCATTTAGTATGTTCATGCTCTTGTGCAGCCAGTCTCAAAGAGGTAATTTGGAAAAGGCCTGCTCTAAGCATCAGAAGAAACCCAAAAGCCTCCCAGCTGTGGACCTAACACAGCTTCAGGAAAGAAAGATTCTGTTCCAGGCAGAGTGACAGCATCTGTGACCTCCGAGAAAGTAGTCGAGGCGCTCCTGTAATCAGTGTCTGCACCAAAGAGAGCTGTGGGGGCCGCTTCCAGGAGCCAGGCCCGTAAGGGTTAATCCAACTCCATCAGTACAAAAGGCTTTGAAGTCCTCCCCTCCCCACCCCCAAATAAATGAGCTTAAATCGGAGTAAAAAGGAAAGGAAGTAAAGAAAAAAAAAAAGATACAGACTGTTGGCAATGATGCAGCAAGTCGACACAGAAGGCGTGGCGTGTCAGGCACATACACCCGCACCACACTTCCAGCCAGTGATTTGATCAGGGTATCAAAGCTCTAGATCTAATAATGTGTGGTAAGGAAATAATTCAGAAAATAATTCAGAATGCACATAAAAATGTATGTATGGAGAAAGTCTGCCACACTCCTCAGATAATGAAAAACTGAAGAAAAGCACAAGGCCCAATGGGGAGTTAAGAAGATGAGCTCCATAAAGGAATGCTATGTGGCCATTTCAAAAATGACGTTGTGGGGATGCGTGGGTGGCTCAGTCGATTAAGCGCCTGCCTTTGGCTCGGGTCATGGTCCCAGGGTCCTCGGATCGAGCCCCGCGTTGGGCTCCCTGCTCAGAGGGGGTGTGTTTGTCCTCCGCCTCCCCCTCCACCTTCCCCAACTGGTGCTCTCTCTCAAATAAATAAATAAAAATCTTAAAACAAGCGAAAATGAACTTTTGGGACTTCATCAAGATAAAAAGCTTCTGCACAGCAAAGGAAACAGTCAACAAAACAAAGAGGCAACCCACGGAATGGGAGAAGATATTTGCAAATGACAGCATGGACAAAAGGTTGATATCCAGGATCTATAAAGAACTCCTCAAACTCAACACACACAAAACAGATAATCATATTAAAAAATGGGCAGAAAATATGAACAGACACTTCTCCCATGAAGACATACAAATGGCTATCAGACACATGAAAAAAATGTTCATCATCACTAGCCATCAGGGAGATTCAAATTAAAACCACATTGAGATACCACCTTACACCAGTTAGAATGGCCCAAATTAGCAAGACAGGAAACAACATGTGTTGGAGAGGATGTGGAGAAAGGGGAACCCTCTTACACTGTTGGTGGGAATGCAAGTTGGTGCAGCCACTTCGGAAAACAGTGTGGAGATTCCTCAAGAAATTAAAAATAGAGCTTCCCTATGACCCTGCAATTGCACTACTGGGTATTTACCCCAAAGATACAGATGTAGTGAAAAGAAGGGCCATCTGTACCCCAATGTTTATAGCAATGGCCATGGTCGCCAAACTGTGGAAAGAACCAAGATGCCCTTGAACGGACGAATGGATAAGGAAGATGTGGTCCATATACACTATGGAGTATTATGCCTCCATCAGAAAGGATGAATACCCAACTTTTGTAGCAACATGGACGGGACTGGAAGAGATTATGCTGAGTGAAATAAGTCAAGCAGAGTCAATTGTCATATGGTTTCACTTATTTGTGGAGCATAACAAATAGCATGGAGGACATGGGGAGATGGAGAGGAGAAGGGAGTTGAGGGAAATTGGAAGGGGAGGTGAACCATGAGAGACTATGGACTCTGAAAAACAATCTGAGGGTTTTTTTTTTTTTTTTTTGGATTTTATTTTTATTTATTTGACAGACAGAGATCACAAGTAGGCAGAGAGGCAGGCAGAGAGAGAGAGGGGAAAGCAGGCTCACCGCTGAGCAGAGAGCCCGATGTGGGGCTCGATCCCAGAACCCTGGGATCATGACCTGAGCCGAAGGGAGAGGCTTCAACCCACTGAGCCACCCAGGTGCCCCCGATCTGAGGGTTTTGAAGGGGTGGGGGTGTGGGAGGTTGGGGGAACCAGGTGGTGGATATTAGAGGGCATGGAATGCATGGAGCACTGGGTGTGGTGCAAAAACAATGAATACTGTTACGCTGAAAAGAAATGAAAAAAAAAAAAATCTTAAAACAACAACAAACAAACATCATCCATGACTTGAAAACAGTGAAAAACCTTGGGTGACGGGGTCATACTACGTAAGATATTTTCATTTCAATTAGGGGAACTGAACTTGAGGGAGTTTCCTCAGAATACAAAACGCACCCTGCCAAGTTTCAAACTACCCTTCCGCCCCCCAAATTTTAGAACTTTTGTAACTATTTAATGAAACAGGAAAAAAGAAAAGTCCTTCCCAACATGGCCCCTGGTGAGGCTACTTCTCTGCAGGCATCAAGAGAAGGGAACTATTGTGTCTTTCCGTCTCGGGAAGACAGGGGAGGATTTTGGTACCTGAGCCTGTCACCTCTTTATAGCCAAAGAGTTAAGAAGGGAACAGAGGTAGTGGGTTTGGCAGACAGTGAGCTCTTTGTTAAGACTTCAAACCTGCCTCTCACGCTGAACTGGAAACAGCGGTCTGAGTGTGGGGGAAGGGACAGCCTGGGTCTGCCGAAATTTGAACGCACTGGGACTCCATCCCCCCAGCCTCACTCAGAGGGAGGGAGCTGAATGGAAGGGGTGGGCAGCAGGACCACAGAAGGAACTGCTGAAACAAAGCAGACGTGGGAAGTGCCTGAGAGCTCATCAAATAGTATCTGAAAGTTGTCATGGTGCAAAAGGCTTTCACCTTCTGTGGGCTAGGCTCAAGGGCTGAACTAGGGACAGGGACCGAGGCTTCAATTTCACCTTGAGAAGACCGCATGGCGCTCTGCAGCAATGGAGGTCAATGGGACTTAGAGGCTTCTAGAATCTCACAGACCTGTGTTCCCTTCCTGGCTCCACCACTCCCTTGCCAAGGGGCCTTGGGCAGGTTACTTAGCTGCTCAACCGTGCTCAACAGCTTTCCTGGAGGCTTTGTTGTGGGGAATTCAATGAGATCCTGAAATGTCCTTAGCACAATGCCTGGCACACGGCAGGCCCCTGGTAAATGCTGGCGATTATTATCATCTGAAAACGGAACAGGCTGCCTCCCCAGGAGAAGCATCTGAGGCTGGACAGTGGTGTCCCCCTGCGGGAGACTGCACAGTGCTCGTTTGCATGGGCCTAGGGATCTCTAGGTCCCCTTTTAAATGCAGACTTCATGATGATGCCTTGTTTGTATTCTGTCAAGTTTTTTAATTTTGAGCCTATGCATGGGGATCCCAAGGGCCAACCCAGATATGGTAAATGATCTGTCTCACCTTTTCACAAATGTCCCATAGCCCAGAAGCTAAAATCTGGCCTGAACTATATTCTGAACACTGCCCAGATGCATCCAAAACTCAGATTCCAGGGGCCTGATGATGACCCTTTTACTTTTGTAACTGCTCTCGGGTAACAATATCTTTTCGCCCTCTCTCTCTCTCTTTTAAAGTAATCTCTATGCCTAACGTGGGGCTGGAATTCATGACCTGAGATCAAGAGTCGCGTGTTCTCCTGACTGAGCCAGCCAGTTGCCTCACAACACCTTTTCAAACTACATGACCTAAGTGTGACCTAAAGGAATCACGGTCCCCATCTTAAAGATAAGGAAACTGAGGCTTAGGGAGGGATAAATCTTGCTCAGCATCTTGAGGATAACGAGCAGCAGAGCTGAGACTAAAGTTTAAATGGAGTGTGGCTCATATTACAATTTGTTTGAAATTAGAAAAAGTTTTAACAGCAAGGAATTGAGAAATGGGTAAATATGAGGGAGTTGGGGTTTTTTTTTTTTTTTTTTAAACATTAAATCAGGGTGCCTGGGTGGCTCAGTGGGTTAAAGCCTCTGCCTTCAGCTCAGGTTATGGCTCAGGATCCTAGGATCGAGCCCTGCATCAGGCTCTCTGCTTGGGAGCGAGCCTGCTTCCCTTCCTCTCTCTCTGCCTGCCTCTCTGCCTACTTGTGATCTCTGTCTGTCAAATAAATAACAAATAAAATCTTAAAAAAAAAAAAAGAAAAAAAAACATTAAATCAGTGTTAGCTACTTCTCACTTTAATTCTGGCAGGTTTCTGTCAAATAAATAACAAATAAAATCTTTAAAAAAAAAAGAAAAAAAAAACCAAATAAACATTAAATCAGTGTTAGCTACTTCTCACTCACTTTAATTCTGGCAGGTTTCTGACGCTAGTGGCTATATCCGATGCTTCTGGGCAAAGTTTCTCCACCAGCTCCAAAGGACCGAAGAAAGATTTATTTTGGCCAATAAAACTCTTCTTAACTAAAAGGGAAAACAAAAGTGTTACTCATAAGAGCGGGTTGCAAAATGTCCTCAGGCGCCCACAGTCTCTCTCCCAAAAGCCAAATGGACAATGCACACAGCTCTACTGCTTAACCCTGATTTAGTCCTGGGGACTCAGAGATGCCAGGTAACAAACGAGCTCTCCCCTCCTCTGGTGACAGGGTTTCTGTGATACCCTGACTATATATGCTTACTCCAAGTATTTATTGCCCATGAAATCAAACAAACAAACAAGCAAATAAATAAGTTTACACACACACATGAGATATATATATATACAGTAGAAATCCTTCCCCTTTCTCCCTCCCACCTGATGTCAACATCAATGCTGGATTTCAAATCATCACCACCATCCCTCATCTGAATTGTTGCCAATAAGCTGCTAATGGGTCTCCTTGCTCCTAAGAGGGACACGTCGTCACCCTCCTCCCCCTCACAATCTCTTCACACACATGGAAATTCTTTTAAAGGGGCGCCTGGGTAGCTCAGTTGGTTAAGTGCCGGCCTTCAGCTCAGGTCATGATCTCAGGATCCTGGGATCGAGCCCCGTGTCAGACTCCCTGCTCAGAGGGGAGCCTGTTTCTCCCTATCCCTCTGCTGTTCCTCCTAATTCTGTTCTCTGTCAAATAAATTAAATCTTAAAAAAAAAGGAAGTTCTTTTAAAAATGTTAAGTCAGGCCATGTTTTTCCCTTTGCTTAAAATCCTCCAGATACACCTACAATACAATCCATCTCCTCACGTGACCTGCAAAAGCCTACATGACCCAACCTTCTCCTGCCCCCCAATCCATTTCCCTGACCGCATCTCCTCCCACTCTCACTCTGAGCCCACTGGCATCTTCCTCAAACCAAGCCTCGTCTCACCTGGGGCTTCTGCCTACCTGTTTCTTCCCCCACCAAGGAATGCTCTTGCCCCAAATCTTGGCACAGCTAACTCTTTCTCCTTTAGGTCTCAGCTCATAGTTCACCTCCCCAGTAAGACCTCACCTCTCACTCTAGCTGAAATGCTTGCTGCTTCCTTGAATTTGTGGCATTTTGTAATTTCGTTTCTGCGTTCATCATCTGTCTGGTCCCCTAGACCTGTGCAGTCCCCTAGAGTCACTGGCTACTGTGTGCTCTTGAGCACCTGAAATGTAGCCAGTGCAACTGAGATGTGGTATAAAACACCTGGTGGGTTTTTAAGCCTTAGTAGAATAAAGAAGAATGTAAAATACCTCATCAATAAGGCTTTTAATCACTGACTATGTGTCAAAAATCATAATATTTTGGATATACTGGGGTCAACAAAATGTGTTCTAAAAATTAATTTCACCTGTTTCTTTTTACTTTTTCCTTTCTTTTTTTTATTTAACAAAGATTTTTATTTATTTATTTGACAGACAGAGATCACAAGTAGGCAGAGAGGCAGGCAGAGAGAGAGAGGAGGAAGCAGGCTCCCCGCTGAGCAGAGAGCCCGATGCGGGGCTCGATCCCAGGATCCCGAGATCATGACCTGAGCAGAAGGCAGAGGCTTAACCCACTGAGCCACCCAGGCGCCCCGTCCTTTTTTTTTTTTTTTTTTTAACGTGGCTAACAAAACACTAAAAATTGCACAAGTACCTTGCGTGGCATTTCTCCTGGCCAGTGCCGCTCTCCAGGTCGGGTCTGGCGTGCTGGGACACCCCCCCCAACCCGTCTGTTTTGCACCCCGCCGTTACCCCAGCACCTAGAACAAGGCTCAGCACTGATGAATACATGTGGAGCAAACAGCTGGCCCGAACTCCCCCGCCCCGAAGGCCCCATCAAGCTCACCTTTCAGCCCGTGTTTGAGGCAGTGCTCCATCACTACGAAGAACTGCTGCAAGGGGGCATGGTCCGCATCCAGGCTGCGGCCCAGGCTCAGGGCGGACTGCAGCAAGACTTTGACGCTGAGTTTCATCATGTGCATCAAGTTGGCACGCTCCTCCATCATCTGGCACCTGGAAGCTGTAGGGGCACAAACAGGGACAGCCTCGTCAGTGGACTGAGGGTGGTCCGGGGTGAGGAGGTTGGAAGATCCGCCTGGCGCGGGGCCAGGCGATCAGCTCCGAGCGCGGACGTGTGGCTGGACGGATAACTGGACTTCGTAGTCAACCGGCCTCTGAACCCAGGAGGTCACGGTTGCACCTGTGCAGCCTTACGCCGGTCAGTCTCGGGAGACCTCTCCCAGGCGGCTCCGCGCGTTGCCAGGGCGACGGCTCTACTAAGACTCGTCGCGATTGGCGTTTTCCACACCCAGTATTCCATTTTCGACCAATGGAAGGGGGCATACTCCAGGAATCCCCGCCCCCAAGCGTTCCTCCCCTGGACACTCCGATTGGACGGACTCAGTCACAGGCCACGCCCACGAAGCTCACGGGCGCCATTTTGCATTCTCGGCGCGGGTTGGCCCTGTCATTGAGCCTCCTTAGACGGCTCTCTGAGCTTGTTCCTTTGTCCGACGGTGTCAACCCAAGTGCCTTTGGGAAAGCCTCTGCCCCTGAGCTCCAGACTCAGATTCTCACTGCCTAGCTTTAGCCCACAGTGGGTGGGCAATACGAGTTCGACGCTTTTTTGTGGTATGTGAAACCGCTACAATCAGAACTCAGCTACGTTTCCATTTCAATTCCTATTAACGTTGTCTCGGTTTCGAGAGTAAAAAGTTTGTGGGCCGTCGGTATCAGATACCCATGACAAATGTTTGCCATGTGTCCCCCTCATGCCCAGAAAGCTGCCAGCCTAGAAATTAAAAACGCATACTCCACGCGATTAACCGCGTCCTGGCGGAAAAAACCACCCCGCGCACGACCCTCCGCACCCGCCCAACATCTAGTCTGAAACATTGGCCGGCCAGACGGTGGTGGGGGTGGGGTGGGGATCGTAGTGGCTTCATGTTTATTGTCTCCTTGGATTCTGTGAATCCTTGCTGAATGCAATGATCTGTATATTCCGTATAAATTAATATTGATACTAATCCTTTGCTTATAGCTGTTTGATTTCACGGTCATTCATTGATACGACCATAAAGATAGTTTAAAAGAGGGCACACATGAAGAGCTGAATCGAGAAGTAATGTATTATGGCTGAATTGATAATAAAGTTATTAAGTAAACATTACTGAGACCTGAGACAGCCTGGGACTAAAAATTCTAAAAAGTCTCAGACACCCACAAAGACAGCTACTGGGAAAGAAAAGTCGGTGGGAACATTTCATCAGAGGAAAATGGGTTGATTAAAGGGGTGGGGGCGGTATAATTATTTTTAAATTTAGAGAGAATCCTATATATTAAATGTATAAATTTGAAAGCATTAATGAGCGGGAGGATTGGCAAAGAAAAGAAAAATTGTAAAAGCCTTATCACGAGAGGGAGAAACCCTAAGCGGACCAATAAAGACAGATGCAATTTGCAAAGATTGACTGCTCAAGAAGCGACCACGCCCAGGTCTGCAAACCACCGCTCTGCTCCTCGGAATGCAGAGCCAGGATTATGCGAAGCCAGGATTGCGCAGCGCCCCGCAAGCCCAAATGTTTGCGGGAGATGCGTTTCCAGCCCCCGAGGTTTCACGCTCTGAAACAGGTTTCAACCAACTCTATTTTCACCTCTTTCTGTACTTTCTAAAGTTCCTTCCAGCTTATCTCTTATGTCTCCGCAAGAGTCTGCGGGCCAGGCGTCCCCTGATGGGAACCAAACTACCATATGGATTGTCCTGAGCCAGCAAGACTCCGTGTGTGACTGACTCCAAGACAAGGATGGACGCGGCCTTTACTGCCCACGGGCCTGTACCCACCGACCTCTACCCCCACATTTTCCTTACAGAAATCTAGAGTATTTTCAGCACTTTGTAGCCCACCTTTGAGATGCTACTCCCCCTCACTGCAGTAAATTCGTTTCTTGGCTCACCCCGCCAGGTGCTCTTGAATTTCTTCGGCCTGGTTACAGATTTACTCCCTATCCCACATCTTTCTCTTGATGTGCCTGATGACGGAGCAGAAGGCAAGCTGAGGACAGGACACAAGCTCATACCCTGCCCCCAGCAGGCTACCCCCCCCACAAGCTCATACCCTGCCCCCAGCAGGCTACCCCGCCCAAAGGGGTTTGTGTGGCATTCCTCAGACACTCCTGGCTGCCCTAAAACTAAGGAAAGGGAAAAACAAATGGTTAACTGATAAAGATCACAGTCCTTGATAGGACTGGGGTCTTCGATCAGTTTACCACTGTCCTAGAGATTTACAAGGCAAAAGCATCCTGTTACTAATAGCCTAATATCCAGAGACCCAAAGACTCAATTTCCTGGAGCCCTAACATCACCCTCTCCTCCGTGGCAATGTGGGAAACAAAGGCAAAAGGGAATGTAAATATAATTAAATTTCCTCATTACCTGTAGCCCCACTGACAAACACTAGAGGCAGGCACAGTCTAATTAACTTGTCCGGGAAACTCCCAACTGTCTCAACACCAATGCTTTCCTAGTGGGAAAAGCAACCTTAGTTTGACAATAGCAAGGCCTGCAGTATCCTGAGTCGTCTTTAGCATATGGAAGTCCTTTTGGACACCTCCCTTTGTCCTTATCTCCCCCAGCTCCCACAAACGTATCAGCCACTCTGCACAGCCCCAGTGCTGCAGCTCTTTCAGCCTACCTGTCCTGTCCCATGAAAAATCACCTTTTTGCACCAAAGGCGTCTCAAGAATTCTTTCGTGGCTGTCGGCTCCAGGCCTCACCAACTACGCTACTCAAAACCACATCACACCCACTTGGGATCCAGGGAGTCCCACACAGCCAAGTGGAGATTAAGCCTCCTTTGATGATTCAAGTCACCCAAGACATGAAAGCCTTCCAACCTCTTGTTGCTTTATTGTACTTAGTTAAGAAAACCTGGTCTTGAGGGAGGGGGACGGTTTCTAGCTCTCCGCTGGCTAGCCTAAATTCAGAAAATTAAACATTTTTTTCTCCCACAGATATATAATCAATCAGCCCATCTCAATACTCCTCCCTGAGATGCACCATTAACTTGAAGGATGTGTTCCATAAATTAGATGGGCTCTAATAAATTATAGCTTCATGTTTTTTAAGGAAATGGATTTGAAGTACACATAAACTAAATCCTTTTGTCAAAAAATACTGCGTTGGCAAAGGTATAATGAAATAAGCAACACTCACGTGTCGCCAACTGTTCTGAGTGTTCTGGGTTAAACAGGGTAGCTACTGAAGGAATTACAAGTATAATTTCCATTTGATAAGTCTCGGTAAAGGCTTTTTGGGGGGAACATTTTAAGGCTGGGAAATTTAATATGATTGGGTAGCATCTTTTTGAAAGTCAGGTGATTTTCATTTGTTTTAAACAAAAATAAAGGAACAAAAAATAATTTTTGACAACAGATCAATGTGACTTGGGGCATATAACTTGGAAGGGATTCAAAAGCTTGACAACGTTACTAAAACAAAACTATCCATTTCTATTTCCTGTTTATATGAACCAGGATTCTCAGGGCTCACATCTATTAAAAAAAAAAAAAAACACCAAAAAAATGGGAATAAAATTGATGCTGAGTCCCATCATATTTTATCTGTAAATCATATATGTTCATCTCTGGATATATGCTAATGAAAAAATCAAAGAAGCCCATTAAGAGAAACAATAACAAGAAAAGTTTATAGTATTTATGTATAAAAGTTATATCCTTATGTCAACTTTGTATTTCTTATTTTAATGATAATTCATTCCACAAGAAAAATATTTTATAAAGTAGAGCTTTAGTTACAAAAAATGTTTATTGAATTTTACTTTTTTTTCCCTAAGAGGTATGACAGAATGATAAATAAAATTTTTTTAAATAATAAAAAATTTTAAAACATACAGAAGTGGAATAGAAATTCAAGTTCAAGGAGTAAAAGGGAAAATGTACAGTTTTCAGGGGCGCCTGGCTGGCTCAGTTGGTAGAGCACGTGACTGAATCTTGGGCTTGGTTTGAGTCACATGCTGGGTGTAGAGATTACTCAAAAGAAAAATCTTAAAAAAAAAAAAAAAGTAAAGTTTTCAGGGGCACCTGGCTGGCTCAGTGGGTTAAAGCCTCTGCCTTCGGCTCAAGGTCATGATCCCAGGGTCCTGGGATGGAGCTCCGCATGGAGCCCCGCAACGGGCTCTCTGCTAGGCGGGGAGCCTGCTTCTCTTCCTCTCTCTCTCTGCCTGCCTCTCTGCGTACTTGTGATCTCTGTCAAATAAATAAAATCTTAAAAAAAAGGTAAAGTTTTCAAATAACTTATTTATATTTAAGATGGATGGTAGTACTTATCAAATCATTTAGGTATTTACATACCACTTAAAGAATGATGTAATGCTTTTATTTTAAAAAGCTAATATTTACAGTATACCAGAAAACAAACTTTAAAATTATGAATTAATTAATCTTAAAAGATTAAAATTAATTAATCTTAAAAGCTGATGACTTCTTGTAAGGGGTCATGTGAGCAACAAACATGAAGACTAGTGTTTCAGGTCACCAGAGGTAGGTGGCAGTGGCTTCTGTTGATGTAGGAAAGACGTTGGGGTTCAGAGCCAATGGCCAGGAAAGAATTCCTGATCCATCTTTGATGCAAAATGGTGGTTTTATTAAAACATGGGAACAGGACCCATGGGCACTGGGGTTATCTACACTTTTAAGTTGGGAGGGGATTAGGGATAGTGTAAGTTTGTAAGGAATTTCAGAAGCAAGGTTTCCGGGACCTTGAGTGGGCTAGCTGTTTTTGGGAAAAGGTCATTTATTACCATCTAATAAAACCTTAGTCATGAGACTTTTCAGATGTATATCATGGGCTATATGCTTGGGGGGATGATTGCCAACACATATCTTGGGTGGGGCTGGGGAGCGGGTAGAGATAAACAAAGCTTCCAAAGGAATTTTTATATTTTAAAGTAGACTTACAGGACATGGGGTTGGGTTAAGACTGTCTTTTGGGGCACCTGGGTGGCTCAGTGGGTTAAGCCTCTGCCTTCAGCTCAGGTCACGATCTTAGGGTCCTGGGATCGAGCCCCGCATCGGGCTCTCTGCACAGCAGGGAGCCTGCTTCCCCCTCTCTCTCTGCCTGCTTCTCTGCCTACTTGTGATCTCTCTCTCTGTTGAATAAATCAATAAAATCTTTAAAAAAAAAAAAAAAAAAAAAAGACTGTCTTTTGTCCTTAGCCAGAGTATCAACATTGAGACAGCAGAGTTCCTAGAAGAACGTCACTGGGCCTGTTTCAAGGACTTGTCTATGGGCTTCAGGTAGTAAGGAAATTTGATTTTTCTTTTGCCTTTGTTCCCCACATCACTATCACCGTTCCTGGGTACATGGCTGTGTTCTGCAGTCATCCCACCCATCCCTCTGCTCCATGACTCACCTGTTCCCATCCATGCTCAATTTAGAGAGCCACGGAATGGATCTTCGAGCCATTCCATCTCTCAAGTTTACTGGCTTTGTGACTTTGGCCAAGCTATTCACCTCTCTAAGCTTCATTAATAATAGTTCAGCACGGGGCGCCTGGGTGGCATAGTCGTTAAGCGTCTGCCTTCAGCTCAGGTCAAGATCCCGGGGTCGTGGGATCGAGTCCTGCATTAGGCTCCCTGCTCAGCGGGGAACCTGCTTCTCCCTCTCCTCCCCACTTGCGCTCTCTCTCACATCTCTCTCTCAAATAAACAAGATCTTAAAAAAAAATAATAGCCCAGCACATCAGCACACACAGAGGACATCAAGTTCTATACTACCTAAATTGCCAAACAAATGGTCTGTTCAGGGATTTCAATCTTGACTGCTATGCAGGGGCCAGGCCTGGAACAGAAATGAGGGCTATTGTGGGAGGACGAGCTGGAGGGGACCGGGGCCCCATGAATATCCAGGGAGCAACCCCACTGAGTACCACACTCTGGTGAGAGGAATGCGGGTCAACAGTGTCAGGCGCAGAGTTTTCAGAAGCTGGACGTCTGGATTTCTATGTAAAGCCTGCTCACTAGCTAAAAAAAAAAATTGCTTTATTTTTTAGGTTATTTTTTAAAAAGGTTTTATTTATTTGTCAGAAAGAGACAGAGTATGTATGCATGGGCAAGAGGAGCAGCAGGCAGAGGGAGAAGCAGGCTCTCCGCTGAGCAGGGAGCCTGATGCGGGACTCGATCCCAGGACGCTGGGATCATGACCTAAGCCAAAAGCAGACGCTTAACCATCTGAACTGCCCAGGTGTCCCAAAATTTGCTTTAATGCTTTTATACTGTGCAGCATCTAAAATGCAACGACCAGGAGCACCTGGGTGGCTCAGTTGATTGACCGGCTGCCTTCCGCTCAGGTCATGATCCTGGAACCCGGTATTGAGTCCCGAGTTGGGCTCCCGGCTCCACAGGGAGTCTGCTTCTTCCTCTGACCTTCTCCCCTCTCATGCTCGCTCACTCTCTCTCTCTCTCTCTCAAATAAATTAATAAAATCTTAAAAAAAAGAAAATTACATAAAATGCAATGACCAGACACAAGCAGCTCACAGCTTGTTGTCACCTCTATATATAGAGGTATAGAGAGTGAGTACACAGGATGGGGAGTGGGCCGTAGGGTTTTTTGTTGTTGTTGTTGGGTTCTTATTTACAGAGGAGTAAGGAGATTCTTGATAAATCTGAGTTTTAGTTTTGAGTAGCCCTTTGGTGTCTTGAAGGATCTTACAATACGATATTCCCCTCTGTGGACAAGGAGGAAAATTTTAACACTCTCCTGTCAGGAATTTTCACTTAGCATCTCAGGGGCTAATGTGAGTTCAGCAACATAACTGGGAAAACATTACTGTGGTTCATTGTGAAACGAGCTGCACCGGCTGTGGAGGGCCACTTGGACACATGGAGAATTAAGTTTCCCATGGAAGAAGAACAGAGAAAGGCGTAACACATACCCCCTATCCGATGGGAAGGAAATATATATCTGAATATCTAAAATGGGAGAATGCTCTTGGGACGCCTGGGTGGCTCAGTCCTTAAGCCTCTGCCTCCAGCTCAGGTCTTGATCCTCCTGGGATCAAGCCCCGCATCGGGCTCCCTTCTCGGTGGGAAGCTCGCTTCTTGCTCTCCCAATCCCCTTGCTCGTGTTCCCTCTCTCAGTGTATCTCTATCAAATAAATAAAATCTTAAAACAAAACAAAAACCAATGAAGATAACAAGGATAAAGTGTGGAGCACCTCTGAGTACCCAGGTGACCACCTGGATCAAAGCCTGCACTGATGCACAGCAGGAAGCCAGTCCTGCTACCACCCAGGGTTATTCTGAAGGTTAAATGAATTAACGCAGAATTCATTAAGACTAATGAATTAAGTCTAAGACTTAGACTTATAAGTCTTATAAGTCTGGCATGGCATTTTTCAGTGAACAGCTAACATTATTTGCTTGCTACACAATCTCAGAGGCCTCTACTTCACCCTATGCCTTGACTTTCAGGACTTGCCGCCAATGGCTGGTTTGCAATCAAACACCCACAGGTGTGTGCAAAGGCAGTGAACCAGTGGGAACTAGAATCCTGTGTGAACAGGCTGCCTCATTACCTGCTAGTCCTACTTGTCACTGCCAAAATCTCAAAACAAGTCCGTGTGTAAACCTTTCTCCACTTGCTACTCCATCTTCACCACCGAAATTCTCACAATTCACAATGCTGCGTCTGTGAGGACTTCTAGGCAGCAAAGACACCGGTGAGTAGGAGGGAATCAAGAAACTTCAAAGACACATTATGGTTCTTAGCACTACAGTCTTCCATCACCTCTGCCCCACAGCACTCTATGAAGACAGAACTGAATTTTTCATTTTTTTTTTAAGACGTTATTTATTTGACAGAGAGACTCCGAGAGAGGGAATACAAGGAGGAGAAGTGGGAGAGGGAGAAGGAGGCTTCCCGCGGAGCAGGGAGTCTGAGGCAGGGCTGGATCCCAGGAGACTGGGATCATGACCTGAGCCCAAAGGCAGGCAGAAGATTAAGGACTGAGCCACCCAGGCGCCCCGGAATTTTAAATTTTAACATTTGAACATCACATGCGTGTCGTGGCTACTCTATTGGTGAGCACAGCTCTCAATATCAGGCTTTACAGGGCTTTCCAAGTCACACTCTTAATATCATCATTTAGTATTTCCATTATTTCCATTCTTCTAACATGCTGAAACTCTATTCCGGGTAACAAGGTCTGGAAAGAACTGTAAGAGCTCACGGGTGAATCAAAAAACTACTGCACAGCCTGAGAAACGCGGTGACTGGCGCGCCTCACCCAAAAGACTTGGCGGCTCCGCTCGCCTGGAACCACCGCCTCCTGACTTCCACCTCGGAGCTTGCACTCCTGGGTGGGCAGGGGCAGCCGAGGCGCGAGCCGACCTGGCATCCGGAGATTCGCGGCAGACAGCGGAATTGCATTCAGTTCTTGAGAACTTTTAAACTCGTACCTTTACTTCAAGTCCCCCACCGGGAGTCAGGACGTTGTCTGGGGCACCCAATTACAAGGGTCTGCTAGGGGAGCCGCCCCAATCTCAGCCCGTGCAAACCTGCGCATTTATCCTGACTCGGCTTGCACGGCAGGACGAAAAGCACACGAGTACGGACGCGTGCTAACAGGTTGGTTCTGAACAACTCGTCTGACAGGCTGCGGAGGTTCGACGCCCTCGCCAGCCGGGCCCCCACCGCCAAACGGCCACCTGTCTCGCGGGTGCGCGCGGGGCGTGCCCGGCCGCAGCCTACCTGCACGCGCCGTCCCGTCCGTGCCGCTGTCCGCGCCGCCCAGCCCCGCGGCCGCGCGCAGCGCGCTCCCGCAACTCGCCGACAGGTTGCCGGTGGCCTTTCGCGCCAGGGTCAGGATGGGCGCCGACCAGCCCTCCGGCCCGGTCCGCGGCTTGGCCGCGCTGCGCAGTTCGCCAGGGCTAGGCACCTGGCTCCGGTCCACGATCTCGAACTCTTCTCCCGGCTCCGGTCCCGGCTCCCGCCCCACCGGGCAGCCGTCTTCCCCGTCGGCCATGTTGGCCGCGTCACGTGGCTGCGACGGGCGGAGGACTCGGCGCGGGCGGGCGCGCGGGTGGGCGGTGGGTTCGGCGCGGGCGGGCATAGATTTTTTTTTTTTTTTTCCCTGTTCGCGAAGTCCTCCCTTCCTCTCACCACTTTATCCCCTCCTTTCTTTAGCCTCCAAAAGGTTCAGGAAAGTCATAACAACAAATCATAGCATAAGACACACTCATATTCCCACCAGTAGGGAAGACTTATGTCCAGAAAATTACTCTTGCCCCCGCCCCCCACCGGGGTTGCCCTCAGCCTGGCTTGGAACACAGCCCCCTCCGCTTTAGTTTTGTCGTGACTCAATTTCCTCTTTCTGATTTTCATTTCATGATGTACTTTTTCTACTTCGCCACTTTCCGGCAGCGCGCTTCAGAGCAAGCCCTAGAAGGGCGGCTGAGGGAACTGAGACAGGCGAGGCAGAAATCAGGATTTAAAAAAATAATTTAATTTATTTTAATTAATTTACTTTTTACTTAAAGATTTTATTTATTTATTTGACAGACAGAGGTCACAAGTTGGCAGAGCAGCAGGCAGAGAGAGGTGGGGGGGGGGAAGCAGACTCCCTGCTGAGCAGAGAGCCTGATGTGGGGCTTGATCCCAGGACCCTGAGATCATGACCTGAGCCCAAGGCAGAGGCTTAACCCATGGGGCCACCCAGGCGCCCCAGGAGTTTTTTTTTATTAAAACAAAAAACAAAAAACCCTACAGACATGACAGGTTGGCAGGACTGGGAATCAGAAGTTCCGGATTCTATAAATTAGTTAAATGGGGATGATAAGGGAGCCTACTGCATGAGGAAGTTAGATTTTGCAGGACGGAGCGCATGGCAGACGTTAGCAACGTGAGGACTGTTACTGCCACGGGTCGTTTCCACCCAGCACGGTCCACTTTGCAGGCAAGCACGGCCCCTCTGTTTCCTCACTTGGAAAAGAATGGAATCTGACTAAATGGAAGCTCACATTTCATTTGCATTCAACACTTCCATTGCAAAGTGCCACCAGGGTCCTCATCGAACTAGGAGAACTGTTGTGTTTGGCTCCCACAGCGTTTAAATATTAAAAAAAAAAAAAAAAAAGTTGTTGCAGATATTTAGAAATCGGAAGATTTGGCATGAAAATATAGATTTTTAGCCCTCTTCAAAGAGTGGAAGCTTTGACAACTCAGAGTCTGTTCCGTGGTGTCAACAAATTGGTGAAGTGGGCAATGGCGGTCCCTTTAGAAGCTCGCTCTAAAAGCTGTCTCCACTCCACTCGATGTTTATGAACCGTCTGTCCTTGAAGGCCAGTTGTTTTCTATGGGGAGAGTGGAGTGCAGAGGTAGTAGGGGAACTGTGGGATGGTGTTTGAGCTGTCACCATGATGGAGGGGTTTGTTGCCAGTCTCTACTGAAATGCGGTGAGCAGGGGAGTTAGATTCCGTGAAATTACCAAGCAGCAGATCCAGATCTTTCATGACTTTTCAGTGCCAGTGGACATTCTTGTAGGTGAAGAGCTCATTTGTAATGGCCAGAGCCTGGATCATATTCCACTTTGCATAGAAACATAAACTCCTTTTAGAAAAATAGTTTTTTAAAAAAACTATATTTGAGAGAGAGAGAGAGAGAGCACAAACAGGGAAGGGGCAGAGGGAGAGGGAAAAGTAGGCTCCCTGCTGAGCAGGGAGCGCGAGGTGGGGCTCTATCTATCCTAAGACCCCAGGATCATGACCTGAGCCAAATGCAGACACTGACCCGACTGAGCCACCCAGGTGCCCCAGAAAAATAGTTTTAACATGATATCAGACTAGGTTTTGCTGCAGTAACAAAGAACCCCCCCAAATCTCAGTGGTTTAATTTATTGGAAGTTTGCTTCTCATCATCCTCCTCTTGGGGACCCAGGCCATCGCAGGTTCTATCATTTGGAGCAGAATTTTGCATCACCACTAAGTGCCACAACCCTGATGTGATGATGTTCACTTATATACATTTCTTTCTTTCTTTCTTTTTAAATATTGTATTTATTTATTTGTCAGAGAGAGAGAGAGAACACAAGCAGTGGGAGCAGCAGGCAGAGGAGGAAGCAGGCTCCCTGCTGAGCAAAAAGCCTGATGTGGGACTCAATCCCAGGAGCTGGAGATCATGACCTGAGCAAAAGGCAGATGTTTAACCGAATGAGCCATCCAGGCATCCCCACTTATGTACTTTTCACTGGCCAAAGCAAGTACCTGCTCCTTTAATTTTGAGAGAGTTCAAAAGTTCAATCCTACCAGTGTCTGGAAAGGAGAGCAGGGAATACTGGTGAGCAAAATGACTACCGTAAATGTACTCTGACCTTTCCAGAATGCAGTGACAATGATTTGTTCAGAACTGAAGAGCTGTTCTCCATTTCAGAAGATCACATTGCCTACAACATTGTTGCTTTAGGTATTAAGACAATACCTGTGCTATTTGTCACAGTCATAGGGATTTTAGGTACAAGTGTCTGGCTACCTTATTTCTTTTAGTGTTAGTGGTGACTTATTTACATATTGAAATGCATTTTAGAGACTTATTTCTCCTTTATATGATAGTTAATTTTTTGAACTTTTGGGTGTCGGTAGGTTTATTATCTATGAACAGCTTTCATAGTAGACAGGGGGGCATTATAAAATATGTATTCTCTAAAAGGTGTGATGGGCCTAATTGGGTAGGCGACTGAGTTTGCATGTAACTATGTCAAGTCTAGCAACAGACATGACAGTTCCTAATTCTTTCCAATTTTACTGTAAATAAAGTCAACTTTGGAGAAAACTTGGTAAGAGAGATCTGTGATTTGGAGCACTCATGGTGAGGAGAATGTGTATGCTTATTTTCTGTACAAATAGTAAAATTTAAAAGACACCTTACCGTGTTTGTCATTTTCTATAACTTTTCATGTGCTCGAAATATGCTATAATAATTAGAAAGTCCCACCCCCAAATATGTAGCCCAACCCTCCCTCCCCTTGTTCTCCCCTACTCCCCCACATCCTCGCTATCCTTCTCTCCAATCTTCTTCGGACCCGTTTTTCTTTTCCCTTTTAAAGATTTCATTTATTCATTTGACAGAGAGAAAGAGAGAGATCATGAGCAGGGGGAGTGGCAGGCAGAGGGAGAAGCAGGCTCCCCAGTGAGCAGGGAGCTCAGTGTGGGGCTCCATCTCAGAACCCTGGGATCATGACCTGAGCCGAAAGCAGATGCTTAACCGACTGAGCCACCCAGGCACCCCCGGACCCGTTTTTCTTTTATTTTCTTCTTCTTTTTTTTTAATGTCATTAAAAAAAAAAAGATTTTATTTATTTATTTGACAGAGAGAGATCACAAGTAGGCAGAGAGGCAGGCAGAGAGAGAGAGAGAGAGAGAGGGGAAGCAGGCTCCCTGCTGAGCAGAGAGCCCAATGCGGGGCTTGATCCCAGGACCCTGACACCATGACCTGAGCTGAAGGCAGAGGCTTTAAGCCACCGAGCCACCCAGGCGCCCCTGGACCTGCTTTTCTATGCCTTGAGTTTCACCGGCTTTGCTGCTTCCTCCTGAGTGTGATTCTACCCTCTGCCCATTGCCTGCCGCATTCTCCTTTCTAATCATCCAAAGGTTGCTCACTACATTTCTCAGACTCGGTCTCTGACTTCTGGCCCTGCCCTTTGCCCTATTGCCGCCCCTGCCTGCGTGGCCTCTCGCCTCATTTTGCAGATACTCTCCAAGACAGCTTGTGTCTTGGTACTTTCCTTCCTCCCTTCTGTTCTAGACACCTTAGCCTGAGGACTTCCAAAGACCGGATGCTGATCCGTTCATCTTCCTGCTTGTGGCTCTCTCCTTGCTTCCCGTTGCAGGAGACTTTGTCTCATCTGCACGCCGTACTTGCCGATGGCTCATTCTCTCCTTGATGTGCACTTTAAACTGAGTTAGGCAGCATCCCAGATGGGGTGACTTGCCTGATCCCTGAACAGTATCCAGAGAGGTGGAATCTCTCTGGTTTCGTTGGTTTTATGTGTTGGCCCAACAGCTGAGAGCCCCTGTATCTCCCATACACATTTTTCACACTTTGGCATTTCAGAATCTTCAGTATCTGGACATAGTTGGTACTCTGCTGCCAGGAATGGCCAGTTAAAGCCAAATCACTTGGGATACCAGGGTGGCTCAGTCAGTTAAGCATCTGCCTTGGGCTCAGGTCATGATCTCAGGGTCCTGGGATCGAGCCCCGCATTGGACTCCCTGCTCAGTGGGAACCTGTTTCTCCCTCTCTCTCTGCCCGCCGCTCCCCCTGCTTGTGCTCTCTCTCTCTCCTTCTCTGACAAATAAATACATAAAATCTTAAAAAAAATAATAAAGCCAGATCACTCTTCTGAATGATGAGACATGAAGCACACAACATTCTGTAAGGTTGCACCTCCTAAACTTTTTTTTTTTTTTTGCATACTGACCCACCTAGAACATGATAAAGATTACTGTGTTACACAGCATTCTGAATGGACAGAAGTAACACTTGGGGAACTTGGCTTCCTCAGACTTTACTAGGTCACCCCAGGGCCAAGAGCATCAGTATCTCTGCACAGCTAATAGTCCAGTAGCCTCACTAGTCAAGAAACTCTGCTCTGGTTTAAGGGAAGTTGAAACCCGCTTGCTTCCCAGGCAGGAACATCCTGAATGCTTTTAAATTTCTGCCAAAGACTGGAACAACCAAGTAACAAATATCAATGTTTGGCTCCACCTTGTGGTCTAAAGTGGACTTGCGTTTCTAACCGTCCAGGATTGGACAATTTCCTTCCCTCCATCCATCCTCCCATCCATCCGTATCCCTTCATATCCATTCTCTCACCCATATAGCCATCACAGCCTACAAGGCCCTGTGTGATATGACCCCTGCCAATCTTTCTGACCCTATGTCATATCATCATCTGCAGATTTCTTTCTTTCTTTAAAGATTTTTTAAAATTTATTTGACAAAGAGAGAGCACACAAG